TGCAGAAGAAAGAGAAAGATACATGCAGTAAAGATGAGACAGTAAGTGACTGTTTCCAGGAAAACAAAAAGAAAAAAAGAAAAAAACCAGAAGATTGATGATACATGACTTAACAGCTTTTAATGCTGTAAATTAATGTAAATTAATATAACAATTGTAAACCAAGCTCTGTTCCAGAGCCAATTTCTTCATTTCAGGGAACACTACTCATGCAGCAGTTTATAATCAGGAACTTTGATCGAACATTAGAGCTTCTCATATCCAAATACACTTTTCCTCCCAAAATCCTATGAAGAATTCCAGTAAGTGACATGTTATTACACACCAGCAGATCCATTATTATACAGTCAGAGATGGCATGTAATTATTTCTTAATAGTACAGAACTATCAAACTATCACATATGATTCATTTTCAGGCTGGTTTAAAAGATGCTGGATCTCTATGCCTAGAAATAGTCAACCCCTTGGGTTTAAAGCTTTTTCCCTAAGCAGAGTCATGAACTGTACAGTAACCTTACCCAGAAAGATAGGGCCAAAGCCAGGTATCAAAAAGAAATACTATTTGGCACATCTGTTTCCCCTGACCAAAAAAATCAACGACAGAAGAGATATGCCCTGACTAGACATAGCTTGAAACTATAGAATTGCCATTCTTTTATTTCTGAGACCCAGGGTGCATTACAGGCTAAACTGGATTTGCATTTCCATTAGTAACAGGTAATCCTATGACACTTTTTACGAGTATCTGAAAACTTTGGTTTCTAGATAGGGAAACATAATGCAGCACTGATTTTTCTGTGGATGTCAAAAGGCAGAGCTGGTATTTGAGCTTGGAGGACACCCGCTCCCTGCCTTCTGTTGAGAGCACTTCCTCCAGCCCCTCCCTCCCTGCATGCACTAGCAAAGGAGTTTGCAGCTAGCCTTGCCCTGAGCAGCAGGTGGGACTAGGTGACTGCCAGGCATCTCTTCCAACCGAAATCATGCTATGGTCCTGTAATCCTGTGAAAATGAATGTCTGTTACATCAAGAGCTGGTAAGAAAACCTGTACTTTACCTACTTTAGGTGACAGCAGAGGTTTGGCGGGGTAAAACACAGGTTCATTCAGGATTGTATGTAGTCAGTGCTAACAAACAGGTAGACCTGCACATTTTCTATTTCTGCAATTTTATAACCAGTCATAATACCAATCAGACAAGTAAAACCTACAGTCTTACTAATCACAGGTTAAATGCACTTCTCTACTAATGAACTACCTTCTCTCAATGCATTATTTTATTATGGTCTAAAGCATTTGATGTTTTCCTAGAGTCTAGCTCAGACTACATGCTCGCATCATGCCTATTTGTCTGTTCTAGCATTTCTAGAATTTTTACCAAGGAATATTCTCCTGTTTTCCACTAGTTTCCTGGCCTATCCATTTCAAATCCTCATTGGCCAAAGGCCTACAAATAGAGCTACTGGAGGGTTACTGCTGCTTCAGTATTGCCTACAACTGCATACTAAAATCCAGGCACTTTAAGACCTAATGAAACTCCAACTGAAGTCAGACAATTACATTTGCAGTAATCATGCATCTCAACTGCTGAAACAGATAAATGGATTAAAAAAAGGATGCAATATATTACTCAGCAATAGAAGAAAAAAAAGAAGAAGAAAAAAAAGAGGACTGTTTGGGAACAAGTAGAATTACTTGCTAATCTCTTTTCTTTTTATGATTAGGCAGTGCCAAAACTTCCAGTCCCACCACTGCAACAGACCTTACACATGTACCTACAGTGCATGAAACACTTGGTGCCAGAGGAGCAATTCAGAAAGACCAAGGTCATTGTGGAGCAGTTTGGAATTGCAGGAGGCCTAGGGGAATCCTTGCAGCAAATCCTCGAGGAAAGAAGGGAAAAGACAACGAACTGGGTAAGTAAATGCAGATGAGAAAAATAATTGCTGTGTTGGGTGACGCTCATTTACAAACTCTTTGTGGTGTTCTATATGTCATCACTGCTTTCTTTCAGTGGGTCAATGCAAACAGGGGCCATATCAGATCCTACCAAAGGGAAAGAATATTTCAGACATACTAAGCTAGAATTTTCAAACGATGTCAAAAATCTATGTTATTATCATGTTTTCAGATCAACAGTTTGTTGTCATAAACGAGGGAATTCGTGCACCTCAGGTGCGTGCATGCACACAGGTGTTAGCTCTACCTGTAGGAAGCACTATATTACATCCTTTTTGGATGTAATTTTTTCCTTTCCCTTTAATATCAGGATTTAGAGTTTTTATTAAAATGAAAAATGCTTTCTGATAGGGCTATAAAAAATGCCTCGTATACCCATCTAGCCAAAGCTCTGATCCAGTCAAATTATTCTGGAATGGAATACTTTAGGATAGGAATTACTCTTTTTAAATTAAACTAGTATTTGCCATTCATTGTCACACCATACCAATGTAGTTGACCTGAAGTATTTACTTTGCTGAATATAGACACACATGGGGGGGGGGGGGGGGGGACTATCACATAGACCATGCTGAGACCTCAGCTTTTAAAAAAGTCCAGCTTTCTGCTTCCCAAGACAGGAAAATTAAATAAGTACAGATAAAAAAGATTTTATCATTCCACAAAGTCACAGTTCATCCTGCCTGCATTAACCATGTTAGAATATGGCAGCTGAAAACTAGAAACGCTGATTTTATTGAAGGCCTGCCATCCCAGCAAGGAAGAGAGACACTGAATGGTTTCATGGATTCAGTGAAATCCTGCAGGCTTGCTACTGATGTCAGCAAAGTGTGGTTCTCCCTTAACTTTTCAGTTGTGTGACCTGCAAGAAAACTCCACCAAATTGCTGCTATAGTCAGGGGAAAAAAAAAAAAAAAAAAAAAAA